AAGTTAAAGTTAAATCTGGACTTATTTTACTAAAAAAATCATATTTAGCATATGAAGTAAATTTTTAATTTTTTTTAGATTTCCTCCTTTTCTATTGATAAGTTCCCATATGTAAATAAAAAATAAAATAAAATAAAAAAAAATATTTTTTATTTGACCTCCAATCAAAAAATATTTTTTTTATAATAAGAAAAAAAAATAAAAATAAAAAAAATTTTTTAGGTGTTGATATTGATATTAATATTATTATAAATATTAGTGTTAACATAAGTTTTGGTATAAGTAGCTTAGATGTTAGCATAGGTGGCATAGGTTTTGGTATTAGTATAGGTTTTGGTGTTGATATATGTGTTAGTATTGATATAGGTATTGGTATGGTATTTGGCATTAGCATTGATATTAGTATTAATGTTAGTATTGGCATTGGTATTAGCGTTGACATTAGCATTGCTATTAACATTAGTATTAACATTGGTATTGGTATTAACGTTGGCATTGGTATTATTGTTAGCATTAGCGTTAATATTAATATTGGTATTAGTATTGGCATTGGCATTGATATTGACATTAACATTGGCATTAGTAGTATTGTTGATATTTGTGTTAGTGGAATAGTTATATATTTATAACTTTAACTATAATAAAAAAAATATTTAATATTTATAAATAAATTCTTTTTTATTTTTATTATTAATATTTTACTTATTTTTACAAAGGTTTATTTTGTGAAGATGTATAGTCTTTTACCATATAATCACTTGTATCCTAGCATTTAAAACAATAATTATGATATTTAATTAGAATATCTGAATAGTAATACACCTAATAACCTAATTAATTACAAAAATAACACATATTCTTATAAAGCGGGTTTGCTGCTGTTAATGTTATTATGGTAGGACCTCAGATAATTATAATAAAGGTCATATGCAAAAAAAGTATATATAATTGTGTTTTTAATGAAAAAGTCATATAAAAAAACAGGTATTTTAAGTAATAGTTACATGCCAAAATAGAGTATCACAAAATTAAGCTACAATAAAAAAAGTATATAATTTTAAATAAAATTTTAAGGTCACATATAATTTTTTTTAATAAAAACGTATATTTGGGAATATCATATGTAGTATTATCTAGTATTACATCAACTTTAATAAATAGCAAAGATAAATATATCATGGCGTGAATCTTTCATTTTATTTAATGATAAATTTACCGCAATGTAATAAATTTTTTATTTATCAGAAATTCAATGTTTTACCATTTATTATAAAATATTAAGACGTATACGCATTTTAACTTTATCTTTTGTGTTAAATATCAATACAAATGAACAATAAAAATCTTGAACAACTTTTAAATATTAGTAAATTTTTTTCTATAATTCCATCTCCTAATATTTATTCTGTTCAAGCTTATTTTTCAACTATTAACACATCTGATATCTTTTCTACTACTTTTGATACTCCTCATAAAACTCTTCCTCTATTAGTCAATATTGATAATACTGCTGAAAAAATCTTTTATTTGCAATATTCACACTTAACTTTTATACTTATCTTTTCTAATGGAGATTGTTTATTAAATTCTATATCTCTAATTTTTAATGCAAACCAAATGTTAGCACTACAATTTAGACTAGCTATAATTATAGAATTAATGAAATTTTCAGATTTTTATCTTGATCAAAAATTTTTTGAAGAAGATTATTATTTTTTCTGATGTAGCTTTAAATTCAGCCAAAAATTCAGATATGCCAACCACATATAATAAAGAAAGAAAATATATTAGTAAAATCGCTTATATGTCTAAGCTACATTGATTTTGCTCAATTGTTAGAATATATGGTTTGGCATCAGTAATTCAAAGATCGATAATGTCAATATATCCTCCAACTGCTTCTCAACTAATTAGTTCATTATATAACAAATTAATTAAATCACAAATTAAAGCTTATGATGAACCTGTTATGATAATATGAATACTATTAAGTGGAAGGTAGAATATTAATGATCCTTTACCACAAACAGATCATTTTGTTCCAGTTTTCAAAAGAATTTACCACTTTTACCTAATCCAAATGTTGATATTGAAATGCTTGATCAATCTAGTGAAAATGAAAATAAACTTTTTAATACTCTTGAATCAAAAAAGTATATAAGTGATGATTCTAATATAATGGAATTTAACTTAAATGTTAATAATAATGATTGTGAATTATCATCTTTATCATCATATACTATTGATAATGAAAAAAGATGTTAAAAAAAGTCAAATGCGAAATAGTCAAAAATGAATAACAAAACTTGATAATATTAAAGTAAGTATCAGAATTCAATTTATTTGTAATTAATTTATAATACTAATAATTATTCAGTTTTTTTATTAATTAGGACAAAAGATTACAAATCATCTGAAAGTTAGCAAAATTATTACTTGTAACAAAGTTCAATGTAAATGCGGAAAGATAATTAAATTGCATCAAGCTTACAATCCAAAAAATTTAGAAAAACATAATAAAACTAATAACTGTTTACTAACAAAAGGAATACATCCACTCACAAGTTATTTTATAAATTCTACAAAATCAAAACAAATTTTATGTATTGGATTGAAAGGCAAGAAGCATTTGAAATATTTACAAAGAATTGGTGGAATTATTCATTATGATAAAGCACTATGTGTTGAAGTATTGGCAAAAGAATTATTCTCAAAAAAGGTTAATAAAAATTTTTGTTGGAAAAAGCTAACAAATAATGAAAAAATCAAGTTAGAAAATGAGTTAGTTGCAAGGGCAAAATGGCGTAATGATTTTAATTCTAATTGTATTCAAAATGTAAAATGTAAAATTACAACAAAAAATGGAAAAAACATTTGTAAAAAATGTATGAAGTTAAATAGTAACAAAATTTTAAAGGTAATTATTACAATTATAAATAATGAAATTTTTAAAATTTAACTTTTATATTAATTAATATATTATATTATTAGAATGCAATTGAACAATCTCTTTCAAAAATAGAAGATCGAAAATTCACACCAAAATATATAATTAAAAAAAATCCAATATTCAAATACTTAAATGATTCTAATCTGAATGAACTTTATTATTCAGTAGATTTAAAGCAAGATTCATTTTGGCCAATATTAGCAGAAAAAGGATGGCAAGGGGTATTCAAAAATAAAAAAGTTTTTGAAGGACTTTGTAAGGTTATGCTAGAAATAGCTGATCGTAAACAAAAAAATAAAGGAAATCCAAATTTGCAATATACAGAAAACTTTACAAATTTTACAACTATTTTAGCATCATTAGGAATAAGAGGATATGAAATGTTTAAGCAAAATTTAGCCAGATACACACTTTGTAATATTAGGTAATATTTATTTTTATGAATATAATACAAATTTATTTTAGATTATCATCTAATGATATTTTTATTATAAGACTACGCCATGCACAATTAGATGATGCAATTATTAATATAGAACTTTGTTATGAAAATATGGTACGATTCAAAAGATTTGCTGATTCATTAAATTACAATAGTCCAGTTGCTACTATGACAGATAATACAAAATTAAAAGAACATCTTAATTATTCAGCTACTTTAGGTTGTATTATTGAATCAATTCTACCAATTTCAGAAACAAAAGCATCAAATTATGAGGAAATTATTGCAATTATTGATAAAATAAAGGTTAAAAAAACTATAGCAAAATAAGTTTGAATTTATTTACTTTAAGTATTTATTATCAATATTTATTTATTATAATTTAATTTAAATAAAATATTAATTTTAATTTTTTTCATTTTAGATTCCTTTACTTAAAATTCCGCCAATTGTTATAGTTTAATTCCAAATGATAATAAAAAAAAAGCTGTTGATATTCTTACATATCATCAAAAAGTTCTAGAATATACAACACAATTAAAATCAATATTATTTCTTTTAGATCAGATGGTGCAGCAAATAAATTTAACTCACAATCAATGCTAATTAATACATTAACTACAGAAAAAATCGTTTTTGAAAATAAATTATATAATATTAAGTTTATGTGTCCAGTTTTTCCTAATATTAGTCCAGTAATTCATATTCAAGATTCAAAACATGGAAAAAAAAGTGGTAGAAATGCATTATTCTCTGGTGCTTGATTACTTACATTAGAAACCGGAATTGCAAGATATGATCAAATACTTATGTTTAATAAAATGCCAAATAGTATATTATATAAGCGTGATGTAGAAAATACAGCTCATCTAGATGATGGTGCAGCATTTTGAAATTTTTGTTCAGCATTCTTAAAACAAATATATAATCAAAATGAATCACAAGATCATAGTAAATATGATTTATTTATTTATCTGTTTATAATTGGTAAATATTTATTATTTATTTATATATAATTATTTATAATTTTAATCAAAATTTATTTTTTTAGGTGAATTAATTGACGCATATCAAAATCATACAATTTCATATAAAGAAAGATTACAAATAGTAATGTTAGCTTATTTTTTTCTTTATATGTGAAAAAATCATATTGAATACATTCAAAAAAATCATCTGAATATTATAAATATAAAAAAAAATTTTCTTGCCTCTCAAACTTTTAAAATATTTATAAGTTTGGCAGAATCATTAGTAAGTATTTATTAATAATATTTATTATACAATATTCAATATATTAATATAAATTATATTAGATTTTATTAATATTAGCATATTGGGATTATTATCTGTCGATTCCACTATATATATGTATGCATAGATCCGAACTATGTAAACATTTTTTTAGACTGAGCTGATAATTGTGTAATGATTTTACTTTTGGAGATCTAGTACAAAATATTCCAAAAATTATGCATATGTATCAAACTCATCATTAATAAAGATAAATGCTGAAAAAACTTCAGCTGAAAGTAATAATAAATTGGTTTTTTATATTTTTAATTATGTTTTATTATTAATTTATTTGTTTATATTAGATTATATAATGAATTATTATGAAAATACTATTGCTGATAATATTCATAACTTAATAACATATCCTACAGATGATAAAATGCATTTGGTTATTCATAAAGCACATGAACAAGCAAGTGTATTTGCTAAAGTTCTTGAATTTATCGAGTATAAAAATCTTTTTTATGATAGAATTTTTATTTCACATATGTTAGCTTATGAAAGTGATTTATTAAATGTTGATTTAAATCAAGATGACGATGGATTAGAAAAAATTAATAAAGTTGATTGTGAATTAAATGAAATTAGCAAGGCTGCGGAGTTGGTTAACACATATAATATGGAAAAAATTGATGATTTAGAGCAGAGTCAAATAAAAATAAGAATAGATTTTATCTATAATCAATCAGATAAAAAATTTATTCAAGAGAGTAGTGAATATTTCAAACAGGTATTTTATCATCAGGAAAATTGAATATCTCATATTTAATTTCACAACGTCATAAATATGAAGCTTATTCAAATTAAAGAATGGAAAGGATTTATATAGCACATGATTCAACTTTAAATCTTAATCATAATAAGATTAATAATATAATTGCTTTAGTTCAAAATGATGGCGCAAAATCTGAAATTTTAAGAACTAAAAGATAGCAAAATAGAAAATGTTTAGAAGTATTAGAAAGATATCAAAATGTCTTAGGTAAAATTTTTGATTATTATTTGTAAATTTATAAATTTAGTTTATTAATTTATAATTTATAATTTATTTAGCTTTACCAAGTATTAGTATTGCAAATGTTACTTTAGAAAATCCTGCCAAATGTGGTGGTTATACATTTACATTTTTGGGATCAAAATTTGCCTTGTTCAATTTTTAGCTATGTATCATAAACTATCAAATTATCATTCTTAGATTGATAATACTAGTTGTATTGATTCACTTTCTTATATTTCAGTACGTGTTTATATAGAACAGATTTCAAATATTTTTAGATGTTTTCCAGTAGATAAACTAAAATATGTTTTGTTTTCACATATTCCTAGTTATTTGATCATTTATTATTTAAAACATTATGAAAATTTTACTGAAAATATGGGATTTATAATTGTAGAAAAAAAAGAAATGGCAATCTATAATTTTTTTAATTCAGTTACAGATAAATTACAATTGATTATTATTACAAAGTCAATTAATGATAGGTAAGAAGGCTTGATACACTGTGAAAAAAAGAATACAAGAAGAATTTGAAGGTAAGAAGGCTAGGTTGGAGGTAGAAGAGTCTGACTTAAAAAAGAAAAAGTAGAGTTAAAAAAGGAAGTAAAAAAATAGGAAAAAGTCCTAATGCTGAATAAATTTAATATGATTTCAACTTATTTTCTAATAAAAAAATTATATTAAAGTCATATGATAAAAATGGATATTTGTAATATATACAAATGTCATATAATAAAAATGTATATCAAAATAGCTAAATTTATGTATATTTCTTTTGATTTTTAATTAGTATTTTAAATGTGACCTTATTATAATTATCTGGGATCCTATTCCTGCAGCTTTAAACTCTATAAATACAATTATAATAAGAAAGTTTACTAGGAAGGCTAGCATTATATGGATTTATATTAAAAGGAAATCACCAGTAAGCTAGCAGAATATCTGCTAAAAAATATAAATCTCATTATTGTATTCCTGATTATGTATTGGTAAAATTAAATAAATAAATGTAATATGATATGTATTACAATATACAATATATAATAAATTTTATAATCAATATAAATGGTCATGTGATAATTGACATTTTTAAATTTTAGACTATTGTTAATTATAGATGATAGTTACTATAGCATTCTTTATCCTAAAAATCAAAAAAATACACTATAAGAGATATGTATTCTGATAAAATGAAGTGAACTTCTTTTATGACTTATTTACAAAATAAACAATTCAAATACTATGATAACTTAGGAGACTTTGTTCTATTTGTAATGATTAAACTTATTAACTATTTGAAGGTTTGATTAAATTAGTATCAAACAATAATATAAATAAAAAAATGAAAGTAAATAAATATCAAATTACTTTTTACATTATTTTATTTTATATAAATGCTAATTATAAATAATTTTTGCTACTAGAATGAATTGATTACTTAATTACTGTTATCTAAAAAAAATTATGAAAATGAATTATTACAATTATTAGTATATAATAATGGTATAATAAATCATGTATATTGTATTAATCATTATTTACTATATATTTTTAATGAATATAAAGAACAACGCTTTTCATATTATAAAGCATGTAATCAATTCTTTGAAATTTTTACAATTCTATTTCACATATTAGATTATTTTTGCAATTTATTACTTTCAGAATATTAAGAAAACTTATCTATTATCTGGCTTACTAGATATGAAAAAGATATTTAAATATATAATTGAATGCAGTATTAGATTAATTAGATGAGTATAGAGCTATTATCTTTTAAATTGTCTAGCAGGCAAATTTGCTTGTGAAATTAAAAATATTTGTTAATTTCTTTATAAAATATTAAATATTAATTTTAATAATATTATTACTATATAAAAATATAATTTAATATATATTTTATCAACTTTATTAACAAAGATTTTAAGTTTGTTAAAAGGTTTTTAAGATAATTTAATTATAAAATTAAGTTTCAAAAAATTTATTATAATAATTTTTTAAAAATTCTTTAAAAATTTATATGTT